TTCAAGTTGACAACAGTATAATAAATATTATTCACAATTGTTGGTAATAGTATGTACGTTTAAATTAAAAGGATACTAATTTATAAGGCTTGCGAATCTTGTTTGTAGAGGAAGGAAGTATACCTACATATGTCAAAAGTAATTAAATACATACTTAAAATATGAGCTTTGATTTTTATAATAATAACCATAAAATAAAGGTCATATATTTACTACTGAGTCGATTTGTTGGTAATTTTGAAACAAATAAGTAAGAAATTAGTTATTCTTAATATATTTAGCAAAATTTTATATTTATTTGAAACAATATTGACTGTTCAGTGCGTTTTATTCATCTAACTGTATTTTCGTAACTATAATGAAACCATGAAACCCATTTTAAATATTATTGGAAAAACTTCAATAATTTTTTAGTTTTCCTTCATTCTACAGGGTGTCCCAGAAATAAGTGCAAGTATTACATAATTTTGGCTAAAAGAAAATATAAAATATCGTCTCCTTATGAAATTGTACAGAGTAAAAATTGAATTATTTACTTTACAACTAAAATTGTAACTAAAATAGATTGAATTTTCGATAAGAAAAACTCAGTGTATTAATTCACAAATAGTCATTAATAATTTGTATTATCTTATCTTTTTCGTAGACTCTGTATACGTACTTTATTTTCTGTGGGTTTAATATTTAAAATTTAAATGGGATCTGCAGTTGTTTATAACAGCACAAAGTTATAATATTTTTTGATAATTATGTGTTTGGTTCAGAGTTTTTAAATCATCTAATCTATAATGTCAACAACATTTTACACGAATAGGAAACATTTAATAATAAAAACGAAAACAAAAATACTGGTTTCCTATATTTAATTATGTATTTGCTTCATATTAAAGTAATTATTAAGGAATAAAATAATTATTACAACGACGAGCGTTGCAGTGGACCTGAAAATAACAATTTATTTCGAGTTTAACTTAATAAAAATATGGCTGAAGTCCTTGATAGCGACAATGACAACCGATCCTAAATAACTTATAAACGTTTCAGTTTCAAAATAAAATAGAATACAAATAGTTCTCCGACAAACTAGGTATATTAACAGGCGTTACGGTAGGCTAAGAAATAGCATTTAACTTTAAGGTCACCTATGTTTAAAACCCTGTGCCAAAGTTGTCGATAATGACTGGATGATATATTACAATACTGTGATTAATATTGATTTGTTATTATTGTAATATTTAACGTTTAACAAGGATTTCAAATAAATCCCAATCGGCTGTCACAGATATGAACTACAGCGATAGTGTAGGAAAGCTTCACAACTAAGTATTCTGTTCTATTCTAATCGGTCCAGGGAAGGTAATCCATATGGTCTACAATCCATTGGTCCTGTTGGGCCCCTTGTTCATCCCTCAGCTGAAGACGCACATCGTCTATGTTTTAAGGGTGTATCAGAATTGGCCCTCATTGTCTCGTCTTTTTATATTCCCTGCAGAGTGCTATATCATAATATGGTTTCTTTTCTTCCTTTTTAAGATACTGCAAACAAATCTTTATCCTACTTGCAACTGCATTTTTCATTTCACTACATCTTGAAATTTCTCGGGGTGATCACACTCTGTCATCAGTGATGGGCAAATGCAAAATGCAATTTTGGTTACACAAAATTGATGTTTGTCTAAGCAAAAAGTGGAAAAAAGTTTGAGGTTCGACATATTTAATTTTTGTTATTTTTCTTGTAGGTAACAAGATTCTAGAAAAGGCATCATCATCATTCAGTTTAATAGCAATAACACGAATATTTATTTTTCAAAAGTTGCAAGTCATTCGTTAAATCATTATTTTTATATTTAGTTTTAAGCCTTTTCAAAATTCTTTTAAAATGGAAAATAATTATAAGGCTGGTGTGTTTTTTAAAACATTCGTAATACATACTATGTTAATTCCGATCACGTATTAGTGGTATTGTTTTACGTAAGGCGATTTATTCCTATGAAAAAGGTCAAGTTGTGGACCTCACTTACATCTGTTTCTTTAGTATTTTTTTTAAAGCCTATATATTTCATGGCATTTTAGGGCCTAGTGTAATATATAGAATTTCATGTTGTGTATAATATACACGGTTTTCAGAGACAATTATTTAATGCCATATATGCAGGCTAACCTATTGGAAGTAGTAAAAAACTTTAAGTGTAGGAGTTGCTACTGTTGTAAAGTTTTACCTGTACCTCCAGAAAGTAAAATGAAAGTAAACAAAAGGCGATCAGATTTTTAAGAAAAAAATTGTAACTTTACTTTTTTTAAGGAACACCCTGTATATTTTAGGGTTTTTGAAAGTTCTTGTGCTTCCCATTTCAAATATAAATGTTTTGCATGAACCGATTTTGAATTATTTTGGTTTAATTAGTGCAACCTCCATCAAACAAGATGCATATAGTATGCCAGTCTCTGTTACGGCACATTGCAGTGTGTTCCATTTAAAAAATTGAAGTTATACATTTTTTTTTTACAACTTTGTTTATTTTTATTTCGCTTTTTGGCGGTTCAAGTAAAACCTTACAACTCCTACATTTAAAGTTTTTTACTATCTCTAATAAGTAAGCCGGCCCCAGGTATCGCACTAAATATCTCTGAAAATCCTGTCCAGGGTGTCCCATTTAGGTTGAAATCATACCAAGAATACAAGAATCACTTTTCATCTTCACGATATCATATACCATTAATCCATAATAACGGAGATACGGGGGCTGCCCCAAATTGCAAAATTTTCGAAAAGACGCTGTAGCTCAGAAACGAAGAGGGCTATAAAATTTTGTTTACAGCATCTTCCGTTTGACAAAAAAGTGGGATAGGTTTGTGCAAACCGCACCCTTCTATCTTCAGTAATAACCGATATACCGTATGATTTCAACTAAAATGGGACACCCTGTACATTTAGATACAGTGTTCGCACAAAAAAGTAATATTCACAGGTTAAATTGCATTGTTCTGTGTGTGTGTTCTCTTAATCTCCTCCTTAATAATACATCCGTGATTTTGCGACATTGTTTATCTTTGAAGTTTGACATTTCTACACAGTAGATTCACTGCAAGTGTTTTAATAGTATGGAAGCATTTTGTGTCCCGTGGGGAAGTTAATGATGGGAAGGTACTAGTGGTACTAATCGATAGATAAAAATATGAAGTCCAATAATGTCGATGGTGACACTTTCACAGATGTTGCGTGTGGCTATGATGACGTCATCCAAGATGACAAAGAAGAAGCCGACACAAAAAGTATACTTCATGCTATTAATGCGAAAGTTAGAGGTGCAGATACATTACTGATATTTGCTAATGATACAGATATTTTAGTTTTGCTAGTGAACAGCTATGCAAAGCTTCCCGAAAACAGCTTTTTTGTACCATCGACAGGCGAGGCAATGTCAGTTAAAAACATATATATTTCACCAAAAAAAATCCTTTATGGGTATTTTGCCACTGCATTGCAAGAAAAATCTACAAAATAAAATAGTTATTTTTTGTAAACACTTCTGCGTTAAACCTAAACGGACACTGCTTGTCAGAAGTTATGTTCACAGTAGCTTATTTCGGGTTTCTCTTATTACCGATTCTGAACCGTCCTAGAACTGTGATGCATATGCGCAGAAGGAAATATGAAGACCTTATTTCATTTGCGCATGCGCTGCAGAGTTCTAGGACGGTAATAACAAGAACCCGAACAAAGCTAGTAATAAAAATTTGCGCAGCAAAGAAAAAAATGCTTAACGTTTCGGAAAGTTTATCTCTTTCCGTCGTCGGAAGCAAAAAAATACAAAGATTAAAGAAAAAACTATTTAAATTCAACTATTCGAGAACACTTTACTTTTTTTTTAAACAGATACGTCTACAATAAACCGTTGACGTTCTTTCTGAAAAAATATTTGATTTATTCAGTATATGTATATGTTCAGTATCACTGGACTCATCGGTGGCAGAATACTATGCGCCTTGCTGGAACGTCGATATCGGAATATTTAGATGCTCATCTACCTATTATAACTAAATTTACGTAGCAAAAATTTGACTGAAGCTGAATATAATTGCAACGGAGTTCATCTATGAATCTGCAAGGCATCATCCAAGGTATTTTTCACAAATAGATCTCATTATGAAAGCACTGACTGGCACAATACAAAATTAGAGGTAATATTTTTGCGAAAGGATTCGTCCTTTCCAGCGAAACATCTATGTCTGGACCTTCAATTTACCATCGTAAACTGCCCATAATTATAATTTACTAAATGGAGAAAAATATCCAAGAATGGTAGAGGCTGCTGAGAAAGAAATGGAAGAAGATGATATCGATTTCGAAGTAACAGACTTGACTCTATTAACGAGAGAGAAAGAAGAACCATATGACGAGATTAAGGATGATTTACCGTCATCTACTCTATTACTAAACATAGGCCTCTGATTCTGACTAGCTTAAAAGACGTTCTTGTCTTTTTTGTAATGTTATTACAGTTTTGAAATAAAAAAACATTATTTACAAAGCTGTTTTTTAGAAATTGCCAATGTTACGTAATATTAGCGGTAATATTACCGATTTATATAAATTACCGGTAATTTTACATCACTAGTAACGTGGCAACGTTGCATTCTTTCAAAGCACTATAAACAAATTTCCGAAAACTGAACAAGCGGCACTCAAAAGTCTTTCAATATTTTCCGGAAAATGTCAAGAAAAATAAAATTTTCAACATTTTTTTTCGCAAAAATAACCTCATAGGTTTGTTTCTGGGGTCGAACTATACTTGGCACTTATTCCTGGGATACCCTGTATAGTTATCGACACAATATATGATTTGTATTTATAATGGTATCGTTGACTTGCGGGATATCTAAAAACGTTTTTCCGTTGCTTGCGCAGAAAGTTATTAATTTCCATACATATTCCATTGGTTCAAACCGGTTGAATGTTATAAAATCTTCGAGCGAAATATAAATTTCTCCATTCAACTAATACCGGTGATGGTACTTGCCGTTACAGACCCAGTATAGATTTGAACTTTATTTTGGTACCTTCTATTTTTTTTTTCTTAAGTAATTAGGAACTTTACACGGTTCTACTTGTTTTTATTTATATGTGTTTGACGTCATCGACGTTGTTAACATATTAATGATTTTGTTGTTCGTTCGTGGCGCATTGTATTGTAAGGAGTCTCGAAGTGACAACCTACGGGTCTCGTGAGTGACTTGTGCTGAATTAATTACCATTATTGATTATTGATATTAATTTATTTATTAAAATGGCTTTATTACTTTCCTCATGGATTAGCGGGGCTATAATGGTGAGTTCTTTCATATTTTATGACTGTGGCTGGGAAAATTTCAAAAACCCTACATCCTCTATTAAGATAGTTTGGACTCTTGAACCAAATTTTCCATAATTACGAATTTATATAGTTTTTCTAGAATAATGTCATTTTTGATTAAGAATAATATTAATAAATTAATTTCGAGAATGTGATACCGTACTTGATCTTCATTTCCAAGTCAATTTTGACATCATTTCTTTTCCATCATACTATATTTTTTGATGCGAAATGCTATTTAAAATATTCAGTTTTTGTAATAGGTATAAAAGAATTTCAAAACATTAACCTGAGAAATGCTGATTATAATAAGATAATTTATTTAAAAATTTAAGCCAACTTTGCATTAAAGAATATGATATTAGGAAATTAATTTATAATTTTTTTAGACAAGAATAATAGCATTTTTCAAATTACTATTCGATAGTAACTTTTTTATGCAAACTCTTATTTTTTGACCATCGACTACATTAAACTTTGGTAATTTCTGTATAAAAAATTGTATACCTGGTGCCTCTCAAAAGTGGCTCACTCCTATAACTTTTTTATTTTTTCAAATAAACAATCCGAGATTTGGTATGTTAGTATATAGTATGACATATGTAAATTAGGATTGATTGATGTCTTCAATTGTTTTTGGTCACTTCCGGTTTCACTGGAAATTACTACTTTTAACTTTTGATTTTTAAATGGCACCCTCGGTATTTTTCTACTTTGTTCGATAGAAAATTACACTCTGAATAGAATGACATATCATATGTCAACTTTTGACATTTTTGCTTTAAAAAAAATTGTATTTTAAATTTCAATCTATAGTGCCATTGCTATGTTAAAAACACTAATTTTCGATCTAATCAGCCTTAGAAAAATAGATTTGATCGTCTTATGTGTTTCGTGTTTAGTCCTGGCCGGTTAAAAGATGCCCAAATTGTATTTTTAATCATATCTCGGTTTTTTCGAATGGAACGAGGGTGGCTCTTTATATTTGGAAAAAGCATTTTTTACGAATAATTTGGTACCACACACTTGGTATTTCGAGTAAAATTGTCGTTATGAACCGCATGTTACAATTTCAATTAAACCATATGGGAAAATGTCAAAAGTTGACATATGATATGTCATTCTATGCATAATGTCATTTTATATCGAATACAATTTTAAAAAAATCGCGGCTGTTATTTAAAAATCAAAAGTTGTAGTCATTTCCGGTGAAACAGGAAGCGATCAAAACAATTGAATACGTTAATCAATCCTAATTTATGTCATATGCTAACATACAAAATCTCGTTTTTTATGTGAAAAAATAAAAAAGTTATAGGGGGTGAGCCACTTTTGAGACGCACCCGGTATAAAGAAAAAATAAAAAAAATTAGTTCATTATTCATAATTTATTTGCTTGTCACTAAGGTTGTGTTGGTACAATTCAAATTGCTTTAATGAAATAGGCACATAATGTGTAATTTGGTATGTTTGTATGCTAAATTGCAGAATAAAAAAATTCCGTAATGACATGATACATCATTAGATCAATACTATGTATGAAATTAATTAGCGTTTTTAATAGTGTAATTTTATTTTAAAAACATTTTTTTAACAGAGTTTTTTACTATTATTATCAAAATCATAATTATTATTTACCTACTATTTTATAATCTTATCTTCTGTATTTTACTGTTCTGTTTGATATGCCTTAATACCGGTATGATCGAAAAAAGCGGCGTCAGCGATGGCTATGAATTTTTTATATGTAAAATTATTTGGGGAATGTCATCGATGTTCATTTCCAAGCCAACTGGACCCCATTTTTTTCGATCATACGGTTTATAAACGTTCTATCACTTTTTAATCTTTTTAGAATTAGCGTTTATTTTTGACAAGTTTTATGTCGATTTTTAGTAATTGACGTCTAGAGACTGACTTTGCCAAAATTACCATCGATTGGCATTCCCAGCCGTCTTTGACCCCGTTTTTTTTTAAATACCAAGACATTAGACTTTGTGAAACAACTACCAAAAGTGTCCTTGTAAATGTCAGTCATTATATATTGTTATTAATAGAACAAAAAATGTAACATAAAATAATTATTATTATTACTTATTGTTTGCGAATTTGCTTTTTAAAATTATAAATTTAAACATGACATTGAACAATCGAGCGAATTTTAACATAAATGAAGTTAAGGCTAAAAATATATATTTTTTTTATTTAACACAATTTTTAAGTTTGACTTTTCTAAGTCTGACCGGGTTAAGTTAATGCCGTTAAGTTTTTTTTTTCATTTGCAGGGTTCAATCATGGATGAGGTCAAAGCAGACGTTGAAGCCCAACAAATGCGGGGTGCCTCAGACTCGCTCTTCAGCACAATTGACATGATCCTGCTGGCATTGATCATAGGAGGGGTGACTTGGTGGCTTCTAAAAAGAAATAGCAAAAAAGATAACAGTTTCAGCAATGGCAAGTCATATACAATTCAGTGAGTATTAGAAGTAGAAGTAATAGTTTAAAATTGGTAAATAATTTTTGAATTTATTTTGTTGAGTCTGTTTTAATTGTCTGTCAGGCGATATAATATTAATTCAAAACCGTAACCCAGTAGCTGCTTAAATTATAATTTACCTAGTTATATGACATAATGACATTACATTCTTTGCCTGATGCAGGTACGTCTTTATGCAAATTACAAGTAAATAAATTTTTGGGAAAATACAAATTTAACGAAAATATATGATGAAAAAAAGAATGGTCAAGTGCGAGTCGGACTCGCGCACGAAGGGTTCCGTATCATTCATTATCTATACAACATAGATACTATATTATTATAAACTTTTTTTTCCGATTTAGCTTAAATTTTGAATGCGCGTATAAGTAATTAAAAAAATGAAGATACACATTACTAAAAATTGTATTAATCAATAATAAATATGTAAAAAGTAAAAATAAATATGTAAAAATATGTAAAAATAAAAAAAAACGATTAAAAAAAAGTCGCCTTGACTAGGATTCGAACCTGCCTTAGTACGGCTCCAACGTCATAGCAGCGTAAAGTCCTAATAGACCGAGAGAGCTGGCTACATAAAAAACCTTATCATCGTTACATGGCTAATTTTTTGTGTGAAGTATCCTTTTGTGTAGCCATTGTGAAATAGTTATGTCTGCTAGCGCGATCCCGGTGCTTAAAGCGGGAGCGGCCAATCGAAAGGGTGAAATTTTGACACTAAAAATATTATAAGGTACACGAGTTATAATTGCCAAATAGCTTTTATTTATTATTAGGAAACGTGTAAAATTGTTGACAGACATTTTTCTCGTGGCTGAAATGCCGGCAGACAACGCGAAAGAGGCATAGAATTTTGACAAAAGAAAATCATCGCATACATGCATGTCGGTTGGTGGAATGTCATGTTTATTGTTAATTAATATAAAAAGCCGTATGTGCAAAAGGGCAGACAAAAAAATCGTTATTGAAATAATAAAAAAATATATTTGTAATATAATCGTATATTATATGATTTATCTATACTTAAATGGATGAGGCGGCCAGCGCAGCGTTTCCTGAATAAAGCGCTAGAGTAATATGGCGCTTTTGATAACTGTCTGCAGCTGATTGAGCCACGATCTTTTTGTCTGCCCTTTTGCATACGGCTTTTAAAATAAATAAATATGACATTTCACCAATCGGCATGCAAATATGCCATAATCTTTTTCATTCTTCAAATTTAATTTTTTAATAATCTTTAAAATTTCATGCTTCTTTCGCGTTGTCTGTCGGCATTTTAGCGACTAGAAAAATGTCTGCCAACAATTTTCCACGTTTCTTAATAATAAATAAAAGCTATTTTCGCAATTATAACTCATGTATCTTATAATATTTTTAGTGTCAAAATTTCACCCTTTCGATTGGCCGCCCCAGCTTTAAGCCCCGGGATCGCGCTGGCAGACATGACTATTTCATAATGGCTACACAAAAGTATACTTCACACAAAAAATTAGCCATGTAACGATGCTAAGGTTTTTTATGTAGCCAGCTCTTAGACTATAACGCTTTAAACCACGCGGCCACCGAAGATTCTATGTAAAATTCTTATTTAAAAGATAATGTTTAGTGAAAGTACTTTTTTATTTATAAACATTTATTTAATTTGTTCTTATAGCAGCAACATAGATACATTATCTGTAAAAATTTCAACTGTCTAGCTATAACGGTTCATAAGATAGACCTTTGTGACAGACGGACGGACAGCCAAGTCTTAGTAATAGGGTTCCCGTTTTTACCCTTTCGGTACGGAACCCTAATAAGCATTTTTTCTAAAGAAACAGTAAACTCCTGAATTTTTACGCACTAATTCATTTACACCTTGTATGGTAATAAACAATTTTATTATAACATTAATCTCATACGACTTTATAAGAGATTTAAAAATATACTATATGTTATTTAATTACTTTATCAAACATTACATTAAACTTAATTCTATATTTAGTTTGCATTTCTTTGGATTTTATTTTCCCGTAACAAAAATGCCTGTAATAAATTATTATTCAACAATATAATTTTATTGTGTGCCGCTTTTGTTTATCAAACGTGTAACTTATTATCGAAAAAAAAAGTTGTCAAGTTGGCTTAGAAATGACAATTAATCGATGACATTTATAAGCCAACTATGACGCCATTTTCTTTCGATCGTATGGTACCGTATGATCGATACATAAATATTTTTTAATCAGACTAAATACGTAATCTTTTACAATATTTAGTTGTTGACATTGACCTGTGCTCAATTTTTAATACATTCTCTGAAGTATCGTAACTGAATTTATTCGTTGCCTTTAATAACAGATTCTACTTATATCATCGTCTACAGATATTTCAAATACTTAGAATATAATATGTGTAATGTGTAGACGAAGTTCACAATTTCGTAAATTTTAGGAAAAATAAAAACACTTGACTTAATATGTTTACCAAGAAAATCCTAATAACGCTGGTTGTGAGAACAAACAAGTGACAAAACAACAATATTATGGAATTTTTTTTATATTTAATATGTATATTATGGCACATAATATACATATGTATATTATGGCACAGGGTGGGAAAATTGTAGATCAATAAGTTGTGTAGTTTGTAAAATATTGTTAAAAATTACATACAACACAATATTTCAATATTTGATAAAGGAATAAGTCTGTGGTACTAAGACAGAACCCGATATGTCAATAGGGAAATACCTACTTACCTAGTACCACAGAAGTGATAAAGGCCGCTTTACAGTTCGCAATTTTACATGCAACAAGTCTTCTCAATATATTCGCAATATAACTATAGTCTATCCATTGATAGAACTCTGACAATGACAGTTAATGTCTTTCATTTTAATTTATAGTTAAATTGTTTTTTTTTGATAATTTTTGCATGCCGTCTGTCGAAACCGTTCTTTCGTTTATGTAACTAACTTTATATGCTTATAGTAGTCTATTGTAAAATGACATTTATTAATGTTTAAAAGTAATAAAATATTTTATTCTTGTTTCATGTTAGACCCACGTCACTCACGATGCAAAATAGCACCGATAACTCTTTCGTGAAGAAGTTACAGTCCTCGGGTAGGAGTTTGGTGGTATTTTACGGCAGTCAGACCGGCACTGGCGAAGAATTCGCGGGCCGTCTTGCAAAGGAAGGAGTTAGATATAGGATGAAGGGAATGGTGGCTGACCCCGAAGAATGTGATATGGTAAGTTTTTGCTGGCTCTTAACCTGCTAACGATTAAGTAGTTGAGAACACGCTAAAGTATTTTTTTGTGCGTAGATGCGTATACATTTTTTTAGAATGAAAGGCTTTATTAAAATACTGAATATAAAAAATATTTCTTTTTCAAACATCACAAAAGTTTTAAGTGTTCTCGGCTTCAATCTGCTGAGATGTTTGTTGAGGAGACAGTGTTCTGTTAGAAACCCCGTGACAATCCGAAGATTTGTTCTTACTTAAATGAAGGAAAATTTTTGATTTTTCTCGGTCCTACATATGTTCTGAAGAACTTTTTCGAGTGTTTTAGACCGTTGGAGGATTCCCATTCCAGGTTAAGGATGGATTCTTGTAGATTCGTCAGTTCTGCGTTAAGATGGAAAGCAGAACGGTTCTGGTCCAGTTAGTGAGTAGTGGTCGCTCCTTTTCTAGCTAGATCGTTTGCTTTTTCATTGTCTTCTATCCCTTGGTGAGCGGGCACCCAGAGTAGGACTTTATTTTCTTTGCCTAATTTGTTCAGCTTCTCTAGGCATTCTTTGACCAACTTCGAGTTGATGGTCACTGAGTTGATCGTTTTTATTGCTGCTTGACTATTGGATACGATGGCTATTTCCTGTACAAACTATAGATGTTAAACTATTTACTCGCACTTTTTGTTTATCTAGTGACGATTTCGACTGGGCCGCACCGGTTCTATTCGAATGCTCTCAGGGCGAGTAACTGCTCAAAGAGTTGCACATGCACAGTGCTGGAGCGAACTGGACAGAACCGACCATGTATGACGGTTCCAAAATTATTGCACTGAGTGCTAGTTTACGAAGCTGCTCTGATGCAGCCGAACGAAAAAACAATCCGCACCGGGTCAGTGCGACGCGAGTCGAACACAATTTTACATTGCTCTTGCTTTCCTCTTACCAGTCGAAATTGTAATTCTGTTCGAGTTCGCATTGAGTGCGGCTTAGTGCAGCCAGTCAAAATCGCCATAAGATAGAAAATCTGGTTATTTAGAAAGGTTTTATTTTTGAATTAGATCTTGAATCCTTGAAAAAATCCTCAAACTGATAAAATATTGCTACTTCGTAAAATGTCTCGTATTTTTTTTTAAATCATATATTTCACAATGAAAATAAAACAATTATTCATCACAATGTGAAAATCTCTCTGTCTGATTCTGTGCTGTTTCTGTTTTTCTGAAGGACGCTACTGTCTTATGATAATAACTTTAAATCACTAAACGTTATGTAATTTTAACTTTAATATTTACATAAATATTAATACATATTTTACATTATTCATGACATTTCTTTATAAGAACTTACTCAATTTTCAAAATTTTTTGAATATACTTCAATATAAACTTATTAATAAGTGTTTTAATTTTAACTAAAATTTTTAACTAAAAATCATCATCTAAGTAGTTCGAGGTAATCTCAATAAATTAGTTGCAAATCCAAAAAGTATTAATTTTATTTTTGCATTCTGTTTATGAAAACTAGGTATCTAACCAGCAATTGTTACCGGATAACCAGCTTTTCACCTAACTTTTTCTACCTTAATTTAAACTTAAACACAAAGTAGTTATTTTTACTGTCAGTAAAAATTGTCTCATTTGAATAGGTAGCTACATAATATTTTATTTCATACATCTACGCGTAAATGTCGCATTTCTAACGGTCTTTTTACTTTCATTGAAAGCCATTTGTTAGTATTTTTATTGTATTTATGGTAGGTCTATTTTCACTTTCACATATAAGATGTTATTTCTTCAGAGAAATCTGATTTTTGTATTTTATAAAAGAGCTACTAAGAAATGTATTTTCTCCTGAATTTGTAGATATTTTGTATTTTTAAGTACAATATAATCGAAAAAAAAAATGGTGTCAACGATGGTTATGAAATGAAGATCGCTGTCATTTTATATGGGAAATGTCATCGATTGTCATTTCCCAGCCAACCAGCCAACTGGATGAAAAAATCGTTTTTTTTCGATCAAACGTTATTTTATTTAGTGTCGATCTTGGAGATACAAAAATCTTAATTGACTCATCTACAAACTCTTTATCTTATCTTTTCTTATTGATCACGTATAATTACAATAATCTATGACAGATTGATTTGAGACAATTAAAATATAAGGAATAAGGAATTAAACAATATGCAACAATTCTTAAGAAGTTCAATTTTGTGATTCAGTTTCATTGTAAATTAAAATAGAAAGTTTCAGTGATGATAAAAGCACAAGTCATTTCTAATATATGTATTAGCTTTGTTTATGAATTATTATACATTTATAGTGTGTACAGGGTAGGTCAAATTCGACGCTTTTAAATGGAAACACCCTTTTTTATAGGAGATAGACGAAAACTAATATCGGTATCTGGAGCTCCATTTTTGTCAAAAACATGATGGTGAAAACCGCATATCGATATCTGTTACCGTTCCGGAGTTACGTGGTGTTTTTCAAAAATATGCATTTTTAACAAATCGCTGTAACTTTTTTGCTATGGAAAATTTTGTATTTTTATTCAAATATTTCCAAAGCACCTTTTTACGTAGAATTTAATGGTTTAAGTATAATTTTTTTAAAACTAATAATTTAAGAATTATCAACAGAAAATTTGATTTTTTATATGGGACACAATGTATATTTTTAATTTATTGAAAAGAATGTAAAATTACCTTTCCAAAAATATAACACACTTGATATTTTGCTCGATTCCTCTTCAAGATATAGAGTATATAAAAATTCGCCCGCTTTAAATAAGTAGGCTTTGAACGGCACCTGCTGTAATGCAAAAAAAAATTCTAGCAGTGAGCATAAATTAAATCGAAAATAATATTTGCTATGAGAAATGCAGAATTTTATAACAATTTAAAATATATTTAAAAAACGCCAACACATTTTAAATAGCAAACCAAGACATTAGATTTTGCTACAGGTGTTCGACCGTAACCACCGTAATAACAAGGCCGGACAGCTTATTCGTGACGTCATCAACTGGAGGCCTAAACTTTGATTGCATTTGATACACTTTATACGTATATAATGGATATAAACTTTAATTACACCGAATTTTTAATAAATAATAATTAAACATAAAATTTGAAAAACATCAGATTGATATCCCATGTCACATTATCCATCGTAATTGTATTTATTTATGCTGAAAGTGTGTCTAAGTTTCATTTATTTCCTTTTCCAAGTCTATCATTATTTTTTAACAACAGTAGTTTTTCAGACGTGTATTTCTAATAGAATTTATGACAATTTTTACAATAACTTAGCATTATAAATAGTACATTGCGGAAATTTGAATAATGGTGTTATTACTTTTAATGTAATCCAAAGATATTTTTGATAAAAATATTTTTTTATTGTGAATTTTGAGAAACTCCTCATGGCTTTGCAAGACTTTGTTAAAAATTATATATTCAAATAAAACTATATTAGTTATTTCATCTTTTGGAAACCCAAGACTGCCTTTAGTAAGGTTTTTTATAAGCGAATTTTGTTCAATATCAGTGTTGTCTGAAAATGTTAAATTATTTTTAGGGGCATTAATGACTGAATCTTAAGTTTCTTTTCGCCTTCATATAAATGTCGAACACAAATACTGTACTGACTCCCGGCTAACTGTCTATATTTTCCAAACCTACTTTCAAGAGGATCAGTTTGCAAGTTCTCTAGTAAAATATACCTCATATTTTACTCATTAAAACATTATTTTATTACTTCAAGCTCAACCTGTTACTCAACTCAAGTTAATAACTTTAATATTGAACACAGATAAAAGCATGACTAATAATTTGATCAGTGTTACTATCAGGGTTCGGAAAACTACATGTTACTCTTAAAAACTACATAAAGTACATTACATGTAGTTAATCGATGTAGAGGGTGTAGTTTATTTAACTTTCAAATATGAAAGGTTTGAGGTGAGGTAAAAGATTAGTAAAAGCTTTAGAAAATACATATAAATATATTTGAGAAAACAGAAGAAATATAGCTTTAAATATAATATTCACATCTTATTATTTAGACATTATACCTTTTAAATTGTATAATTGCACACACTTATAATCAGTTTATAGTTTAAACACCTCTTTTTATAGATTTACAACTTTTTCACCCTTCTATTATCGATTATAATTACCACGTCCGCACACCTTCCGATAAATCGATGACTGTCAACTGCGGACTGCGGCAATACCACTCCGCTACGCGCTACGACAGGCGCGCCACACGAGGCCGCGCCGCGCCGCGCTGTCGCCTCGGAGCAGGGGCGTGAAATATCGATAAAATACATAATATATACTATAAAAAATATCTATTTTTTATTGTTTTTTCTCTCATATTATACACTATTGTGAACTTAAAATATTCCTCTATTAAATTTGATTGATAAAAAGTGAGAGATAAACATTTATTGACTGGTATGATTTTTTCCGTATTCTATTAAAACTATTTTTATATATTAGAATATTTTTAAAAACTCGGAAAAGACATTTTAAAACTTCGAAATATATCTGGCGAGTAAAAAAAGATCCACAATTTGAACTTTTATCGCGTAATTATCAACGCTGCTTGGGCCTCCAGTTGGTGACGTCACTATTTTTTTTACGTCAGAGCTGTCCGGCCTTGTTATTACGGTGGTTACGGTTCGACACTACTTTTACTGTTATTTATTTACAGACGGGGCAGTTTTGAACATTTCTCGCGGTATTCATTAACTCAGTGGGGGTGAAAGATACCCTCTCATAACTGCTAAGTATTTCTAATTCTTGTCTAGATTATACGGAAGAATAAGGAACCTTTATTCTTCGGCAAATATATCCATAGGATTAGATCCATGGGCATAAGTCAGACGGCCTCGACGGCCAACGGCTGGGATTTTGGTTAGCTATTCAATTATTCTTGAAGTGGCTACAAAAATTTGCTTGATAACTTCAGCGTTCAGAGGCGGTGCGTCTTCTTGCTGGAAAAAATATGTTTTCGAGTTCCATTAAGGGCATATCATCAATAAGGGGTCCAAAGCCTATTAGTTAAAAGTGGCGAACTTTTTAAAAATTCTGTATTTCGAAGGGAATTATAACAAAATATCAAGTATGCTATATTTTTGGAAAGTTAATTTTAAATTCTTTTCAGTTAATTAAAATATAGAGGGTGTCCCAAATAAAAAATCAATTTTTCTGTTGATAACTCTTAAATTATTAATTTAAGAATAAAAAAAAATATACTTGAACCATTAAATTCTACGTTAAAAGGCGCTTTGGAAATGTTCATAGAAATACAAAATTTTCCATAGTAAAAAAAGTTACAGCGATTTGTTAAAAATGCACATTTTGAAAAACACCCCGTAACTCCGAAACGGTAACAGATATTGATGTGCGGTTTTCACCATTATGTTTTTTTGATGAAAATTGAGCTCCAGACACCGATATTAGTTTTCGTCTATCTCCTATAAAAAAGGGTGTTTTAAAAGCGTCGAATTTGACCCACCCTGTACAAATATACAACTGCTACGTATTTTTGGAATCAAATAAAGTTATTGAACACAATTTACTTCTATACAAATGTGCTTCGATTGTCAGTTCAGAGGGCATAAAATTTTTAAAAAAAATATTAACACATTTTTTAAGATATTTTAAAAACTGATATTCCGATTTGAATGAGATTTGGAAGCGCTTTAACATTCGATTTTCACAAAATAACTAGAAATGTTACGAGAAAGGCGAAAACTACCCTCATTCCTACATAAATTCTAGCAGAAATTTTTTGCACCTCAACGATAACTGACTTCTTTTTTTGATAAAAAGTTCTTCTAGTATTTGCTATATTTATTGTACTCTGTAAATAAATGCCAGCTCGCATAGTTTTTGAAAAAAAATCCGTAGCTGACTACTATAAATATAGTATATCTGGTCAAATCAAGCATTAAAATCAAGTTAGGCGATAATATACTCATTGAAACAAATTGGGATGTTATGTCATTGTTACAAATTATTTTTGACAATAAGCTTCATAAATTTTAAATTATCGTTTGGTTTTATTTTGTGTATAGAGGTAAATTGTGCCCAACTAATTTACCGTTCCAAAAAATACGTAGTAGTTCTATGTCCACGGAATACTGGGACACCTTGTATTAACTATGAAGGCTATATTATATCCGGTTGCTTTTGGTTGAACTGCGGCGAATCAGTAACAAAAATTTTGAGGTTAGAGCTGGGTTAGATTAGAAATGGGCGGTTATTGGTAAAAACCACGTTATAGGTTAACCGGAGATTATCTTTAAAAAAATAATAACTTTGACAAAATTAACCGACACAAATTAACCGGTTATTCAAATAACCTAACCTAGCAAAACTAAATATTTAGTTTTCCTATAGGTTTACTTACCTCTACACTCCATAGGTCTACTTCAAATTTAGATAATAAACTTAGTTAAATCGCATGATTAAATAAAGATTGTAGCGATGTGGTATATGTACAAAATGAATTTAAATAAAAATGCTAACCTCACTTTTTTGGTAGACATGGATATGATATTAAAACTAGTAATTACTTAACGTTCAAATGTCCCCACACAACTCACAAGTTCTACAATCTACAACCAAGTTATTTTAATCAAATACCAAAGAAAAAAATAAGGAGACTGAATGAACAGATAATGAAAAGATTACCTTCATTCATTACTTGAACTTCAATTTTGTATTCTTTAGTCTAAGCTTCAAGAGACTTCAAACTACAAATAAAATATATTTACGGTGAAACGTGGGTGAAACTGGGCGAAACCATGGAAAACTTTTGAAGAACCGTTGAAAATCCGTTAAAGTCGGTTAAAATTTAAATATAGAATTTAGAGAATCTATTTGAAGTTAGGTTCGTATCACTTGGCTAGCTGGTGGCTAGTAGTAGTCTATGCCATTCTTTATGCCATTAGTACTTTGTTTTACGGCCTGACCTGCCAGGGCCATTCGGCCGTTGTTTTGATTATTATCATCAGGGTTCGCCTGATGCCTGATTTAATTTTGACATTTGATGTTTGATGTCATATATTTTCGTTTTGGGAGCGGGAGCGGGATCTCCCGTTATCGTCGTAATATCTGGAAGATCCGTGCCGTTCGCTTCTTCGAAATTTACGATTCAAACAGCTAATATTTAATTGTTACTTGTTTTAAACAAGTACGATTTTTTAAAAAATAACCGGCTATAGGTTATTGAACGTAATGCAAGGTTATTAGGTTAACTGGTGAAAAAAAAACTACCTTTAAATAACCGGTTATTTTAGAGGAAAATACCGGTTATTCAAAAAACCGGTTACTTTTGCCCATCTCTAGGTTAGATATACCGATCTGGTCATCGAAACTGCGTGTTCTGGATTTTAACGTGTATGACAGTGATGTAGACAGCTTAATGGAAAATTAAACGTATTAAAAAGAGATAAAAGTTGGGTTGATACATTTCATCTATGCGGTATTGCCGGATTTTGCATCAAAATTTCAAACCGCACAAACCGTAGGCGTTTACGAAAAATGTTGCATCTAGGGTTGGAACTTGATTTTTCACAATTAGTTACTCATTTTACTACAGCTGTAATCTTCATTTCAGTAGTATACATGAATGTTTTTAAAATAGGTTATTTTTTCCTACACACGTAAAACCCAGCAATACTGTATGCCGCTTTTTATTTTGTCTCTCTGTCAGTCAACCGGTCATTTATATTTATCTCTGTCGCATGCATTAAAATACAGACCCTGTGGTGGTTCCTGGTCACTTCATTTGCGTAATCTGTTGTGATGTTGAGACTGCGATAGGAAGATTATCTTCGTGTTCGTCTATTAGAGAGTATTCCAATAAAGAAATCAGACGATTGAAGCATAAATAATGACAACTCATTAGCGTATATGTGTGAAACAGCAGCTAATCAGGAATTATGCAATTGTTTTGCAGTTCTGTGTAAACACATCTCGGTATTATTGTCGCAGACTATTATGTCAAATAGTCGAGCAACTATAGCTCATGCTTTTTAGTTCGTTCACCAGATAAAGTTGTTAAAAGACAAACAAAAACATTCAGTTAATTAGATGGTTTTATGGTTGTTTTTTGTATTGATAAGAGATATAATTTTAACAATTTACAATGAACTAATAAAGTATTGTTTACAAATAATCCTTTATTATGTATAGAGGGTGAGCCTTAAATAAGTGTTCATATTTTTAAAGGTGGTATATTTCGATCCCGGTAAAAATAAATTTTGTTTTTATTTTATTTTTCAGAAAAAATAATCTTCGTAGTATGACTACATAGGTAATAGATTATATCAAGGAAATTCAAAGAGAAAAATAGTTTTTTTTTAAGTTTTCAAAGTAAAGTAATTGAGCTATTTTAGAAAATTAGTTTAGTTATTTGAAAAACTCTAAAGAGTTTTTTTAATGCAGCAAATATGATGAAAGTATACATGACTATTTTTTTATAGCTCTTTAAACTAAGATTTAATCAAGAATGTTTTAATTTATTTCAGGAAGATTTGGTTAATCTTAAGAATATTCCCAATTCTTTGGCTGTTTTCTGTATGGCCACTTACGGTGAAGGCGATCCAACCGATAATGCAATGGAATTTTATGAATGGTTACAAAATGGAGATGCAGACTTAACTGGCTTAAATTATGCGGTAAGTTAATATAATTTTTGTATACAAATACCTGATTAACCTGATTAATATTGTATTTAAAAAATGCCTCACTCCTATAACTGTTTTATTTTTTCAGATAAAAAAATTGAGATTATTTGTACAAAAATACTTTTTTCTAGATATGCTAATGACACGTATAGCATTACATTCTATTTATTCAGAATGTCTTATTTCCATCATAAATAAGTTATAGGGGTGATCCACTTTTGAGAAACACCAGGTACATTAATGAATCGGAATGTGTGTATGAACTATAGTATTTCTGGTGAAAGAATGTCTTAATACTCATTCAAAGTTGATTGTATGTTATGGAATATACCGGTAAGGTTAATTTAACGAATTTATGACCTGCGCGGCGGTATATTTTATAATTATAATATACTGCTTTTCTCTCACATAAATGATATATTATGTAAACTGATGTGTAAATTATAAGATAATCGCAGGGGCTTTCTCTTAACATTACTTAAAGCAACAAAATGTGGCAGCTGTGCTGAAATAATCTCGGTACAAGTATTAATTAATAAAATTAATACTTGAAATTTTAAAACATAGTATACCGGGTGCGTCTCAAAAGTGGCTCACCCCTATAACTTTTTTTCTTTATCAGATAAAAATAGCACCCTCGGTGTTTTGTTGCTTTATTCGATAGAAAATGACACTCTGAATAGAATGACATATTATGTGTCAACTTTTCACATTTTCGAATACGGTTTATTTGAAATTGCAACACGCGATTCAAAACGACAATTTTACTCGAAGTACTAAGTGTGTGCTACCAAATTATTCGTAAAAAATGCTTTTTCCAAATATGCTAATGAGCCACTCTCGTTCCATTTGAAAAAATTGAGATATGATTAAAAATACGATATGGGCATCTTTTAACCCTGCCAGGACAAGACACGAATAACATTAGACGATCAAATATATTTTTCCAAGGCTCCTTGATTAAAAATTAGTGTTTTTAACACAGTCATGGCACTCTAGATTGAAATTTAAAATACAATTTTGTTTTAAGCAAAAATGTCATATGGCATTCTATTCAGAATGTCATTTTCTATCGAATAAAGTAAAAAAATACCGAGGGTGCCATTTAAAAATCAAAAGTTGTAGTCATTTCCGGTAGAACAGGAAGTGGCCGAAAAGAATTGAATACGTCAATCAATTCTAATTTATGTCATATACTAACATACCAAATCGCTTTTTTTATCTGATAAAATACAAAAGTTATAGGGATGAGCCACTTTTGAGACGCACCCGGTATATATACTTACGGCAATTTGAAAGGTTACTGGAGAGCAGCTATTATAAAATTTTCGAAGATTAAATTTATTGTTTGTCAAGGTCAAGTTTTCGGGCTTTAAGCAGATTTCAGATAATATACAGGATGAAACCTCTCACACCTCTCATACTTTTGGTGTATGTTCATTTTTGGTATATATGTATTTACACATTATTGAGTTCTACAGGATGTCCACAAAAATTAAATAAAGTTGTGTTTTTTTAATTGAATACCCCATATCTTAATTATAATTTTGGATTTTAGATAAAAAATAAATGAGGATTTATTAAAGAAGTTTATATCGAAAATGTAAGGTTTTTGACATATTTAGTTGTCACTGCTTTAGTATACAAATGAATGAATGATTTTATTGGAATAAAACCACACACACACATTTGATAGAATCATTCATTCATTAACCATTCGATAGCCTATTTCATTCGATAGTTCCCATCGCTAATATTTATTATTTTTGAAAAATTAACAACAAACCAATGTTAAATTTGAATAAGCTACCTAAATTACAGTTTACCCTTACAGGTTAAAGTAACCATTGTATGATAAATCAAATTTAAATTTGACAATAAAAGTTATACACAGTGAGACAAAATTGATATTGCAACACTGGTCAACTATAGGGGCTAATGGGGCAAGTTACTCTATATTTTAAATAGAACACCTAGTATATTATTTCGGTTTTCAACGCAGTGATCATGTCCGTTCAAAATATTAAGGATTCTCTATACATATTTCTCATTTTTTTGTTAAACTAATATCACTATCATAATACAGCCACTTCCAAATATTAGTAAAAATATCTTATGATATTAAATAACAAAAGTGAAAATAACTAGAAAAGTATTTGTCTGAGAGGTAAGCAATCTAGATAGTATTTTGAACAGACATGATTTCTGCATAGAATGTCTAATAAAATTAATAAATAATATATTGGCTGCCTCGTTTGTAATGCTTGTTTCAATAACGATGACGATTGTTCAATATCAATATTTTCTCACTCTGTATAACTTTTCATGTCATATTCAAATTTAATTTATCGTATAATTGTTATTTTAACCTATAGCATGTTATACCGGATGATCGCTTGGAAATGACGATCTATGACATTCTCCATATAATTTTACAAATAAATGACAGCGATCTTCATTTCATAGCCATCGCTGACGCCGTTTTTTTTTCGATCATATTGTATATTTTTATTCACATTTCAAATTTGTCTATCATTTTTCGGAAATGTAAAAAATGTAGAAAAAAACTATATTATTGATATGAACTTCTTATCAATAATGTGAACAAAATGAACCAAACATTAATTTTCTTCCTAGAATCTAAAAACTACTTAATATCTAGGTGTTCCATTAAAAATGTTGTATATAACTTTTTTGAAATACCCTGTCCTGTACACTGCTTAAATTTAGCTTAGTGTTTCTATTATTATTTTTATTATAAGTGTTCATTATTTTAATATATGGAATTTAAAACAATGTGATCTGATAAGTTATCTAAACATAGAAGTAATCAACGAAGTAACATATGATCATTTATTATATATATTTTTGGAGGATTTATTTTTCTCCCATGCAGTGATGACAATTTACTTTTGTTATTATCTCGTCTCAAATTTAATTTGATGTCTCATTGTGAGTGAATAGACTAGTATGATTCATTATTTTTTATATATTCAAATCTCATCCTATTTTATTATCATGTTCTTAAATTCTTTTGTCCGTTTTCATTCGCAATTTAAATTAGACGAAATTTAAATGATCAAAATAAATTGCATCATGCGCAGTTCGTGTGATTGGCGAACGAAACTAGAGGGGTTCATGATTGTTGCAAACAATGTTATTCTACACTTAAAACAACAAGCTAGCATGAGACGACGTATTTGCTATCCTTGAATAACAACTATTTTACATATGCTTTATATCTGTAGTAGACGTTTGATTTAAATTATATTTGTTTTGAATAGGTACCTAAATAGTATATAAATAACGGTACCTACCTGATCTCTTCATCCTTAAGTATTTAGATGTTTTATGTTAGATAATATTTAAGTTAATAATAATGCAATAAGTCTTATTTACAGTCTTATAATTTATAATAGGAAATGGAAAATTACTACTCTCAACGGTACGTTTTCTTTAACTGATGATTAAGTGTCATACTGCTATACTACTATAATACGTTTTTCAGATAAACCTCCAGTATACTGGGTGTCTTTCAAAAGTGGCTTACGCTTGATTTTCATGCATCCGTTGTCCGACGATACGTTGATACGATATTAATTTTATTGGTAGAATTTAAAGACTATTGGTTAGAAAATAACGCAGGTGTTAAATTTATTGCATTTTCATGCTTCCGTTTATCGGATATACGTTGGTGTTATTTTATATTTTCGTTTCCATAACGATTTTGCTATTTTACTTATATTTTTATTAAGGTTAGATTAAATTTGTCAATAAAGTGTCAAAACGTCTGTTATCGTACATAGATAAATGCAATAAGTTTAGATTGGAAAGCCCGTAAAATTTTTAGGTCGCGAAATTATTTTGGGTCGCGACCGTTAAATGCGATCTGGCGCTGCTATAGCGGTCGCTAAGAACAACGGCAAACAAAAACAGAAATAATTTTCTTTTGTCAAAGTCAGAATCTTCAAAAATCATAATAATCTTTCAGAATCTAAACCGATTAAAAAAAACAAGATTTGGTATGTGTGAATGTGTGTATATGACAGATCAGGATTGACGTATTCAGTTAGTTTTGGTCACTTCCTGTTTCACCGGAAATTACTATAACTTTAGATTTTTAAACGGTACCATTTACGGTATCGTTTAAAAATTTGATAGAAAATAGCATTCTGAATAGAATGACATATATGTCAACTTTTGATATTTTCGCTTAAATAAATTGTATTTTAAATTTCAATCCAGAGTTCGACGTGTGTGATAAAACTAATTTTTAATCAAGTAGCATTGGGAAAATAGATTTTATCGTCTAATGTTTTCGTGACATTTTCTGGCCATTTAAAAAATGGCCCAATCGTATTTTTAATCATAACTCAATTTCAAATAGAACGATAGTGGCTCTTTAGCCACTTTTTAGCATATTTGGAAAAAGCATTTTTTACGGTTAGTCGTACCACATACTATTTCAATTCACACATATACCTGGGTTGAACACATATACCTGGGCATACGAGGCTTTGGGCCTTAAGCTGAACATCGACAAAACTAAAATCATGTGCACTCCCCGGAAGTTATCTATTTACTGCGTACTGTTCTAAAATTGTCCATGTATATTCTTTTTGTAATTTTAAAGACTTAAATTTTTTGAATTGTATTATTTGTATTGTGTATTTTTTCTTGTTTGTATTTTCTTGTGATTTTGTTGTTTGTGAGTGCTTTATCGATGAAGCTGTTTTGGTTTTTTGTACAATAAAGCGTTGTTTGTTTGTTGAAGATCACAACAATGCTATAAAATCGGAGAAGAACTATTGGAATATGTGGCGGAATTCAATTACCTCGGCAGTTTGATTTCGGAAAAGGCCAATATTGACTCTGAAATTCAGCACAGGATTAGTAGCGCCTCAAGGGCATTCTGAAAATTAAAAGGCAGGGTTTTCTACAATCATGACTTGAGTACAAAACAAAACTTGCAGTATACCGAGCAATTATAATCCCCACCATGTTATATGGGAGCGAAACCTGGGTGCCTTACCGCCGACACATGAACGCATTAAACAAGTTGCAACAGAGACACTTTAGGCAACTCTTAAGAGTCCGGTGGTTCCATCATGTCTCAAACGTATTGATCCTTGAACAAGCTAACTGCGAGAGTATTGAAGTCATGGTCACCAAATCCCGCTTAAGAGGGGCTGGTCACGTATGCAGAATGCAAGAAAACCGCATACCAAAATCTCTGCTTTACGGTGAGCTTGTAGACGGTAAGAGGAGGCCGGGTGGACAACTGAAAAGATACAAGGATATTTTCCACTAAAATTTAAAGGGAATTAACATGCAGAATGAGTGGGAAAAAGCAGCTCCCAATAGAACTCAATGGAGAAGGGTTGTAAACTCAGTTAACAGCGGCAACCAAAAACTAAAGAGGCAACAAAGCAATGAGATTTTTTAATTTCCGGAGTGCGGTAGGCAGATAACATCACGTATCGGGCTTTTCAGTCACAGGAAAGCTCGTGAAAGAAAAACGCCTTGCGTGACCATCTTCTTTTAGGTGTGTCGAATACTCGTCAGCGAGTAACATGTATGTATTTGAAAAACAATATTTGGCGATATAATTCCGGAAAGAGCCGAACCGCTCCGAAATTTTCAAAAGTTTTGGGTCGCGACCGTTGCAAGAATAGCGCCAAATAGCGTTTACATTGTCCTTATGGGCACTTTCCAATCTAAACTTGTTTCATTTATCTATGAATGTCGTTTTCTATTTAATAAAGTAAAAAAATATCGAGGGTACCATTTAAAAATCAAAAGTTGCAGTAATTTTCGGTGAAACATGAAGTAATAAAAAATGATGATGCGTCAATCAATCTTGATTTATGTTATATACTAACATACAAACTTCCGTTTTTTGTTTGAAAAAATCACTGTAACTGTAAATCAACTTATGAAAAACACCCGGTATAAATGCTCCAGATAAATCTGAGGATATATTTTTACTTATTATTTGTTTATTTATTTATTTATTTAATTAATTACGGCAGTGTGAACTTATTAGATTATAAGTACATAATATGTTTTGTTTATTTATAGGTCTTTGGTTTAGGAAATAAAACGTATGAACATTACAACGAAGTTGCCATTTATATAGATAAAAGATTGGAAGAATTAGGAGCTACAAGAGTGTATGAATTAGGATTAGGAGACGATGATGCGAAGTAAGAACTAGAATTTAATTAATAATTTTAAAATTGGCACTGTCGACAATTTTGTTTTTAACTAAACTAATTATACATTATTATTTGGTGATGAGACTTTTTTAATGTTACCTTCGAATCATAATAATTTCTTTTTTTTTGTCGTGCAGTATTATTTTCTTATGATTCCTACATAATTAAATGTCTATATAATAGTTATTAAATTCTAATTAAACGACTGAGATGGATGCATACAGTTTTATTACTGACAACTATAAATTAACTTAAAAATTCCGTGTTTAAGTAACATACATGTTGGTATTTATTTGCTTAAAAAAATAATTAGTAGAAAAACTTACATCAATGGAATTTTGATCTTATAGGTAAACATAGAATTATTTTTTCAGAAAATTGTTAATTTTATTAAAATTTTAAACTATATCCATTTTATTTTAGAGGAAAACTTATTGAAGCAAATTGTTTATTTTGAATGGTTTATACTAATATCATTTTTACTTTTGTAAAATAAAAGTTTACGATTTTTCCTTATACCAAGTGCTTCTCAAAAGTGGCTCACCCCTATAGCTTTTTTATTTTTTGGGGTAAAAAACGAGATTTGGTGTGTTACTATATGATATAAATTAGGATTGATTGACGTATTCAATTGTTTTCGGTCACTTCCTGTTTCACCGGAAATCACTACAACTTTTGATTTTTAAATGGCACCCTCGGTATGTTTTTACTTTATTCTATAGGAAATGACACTCTAAGTAGAATGACATATCATATGTCAACTTTTGACATTATCGCTAAAAAATCGTATTTAAAATTTCAATCTAGAGTGCCAAAGGCATAGGCTGTGTTAAAACACTAATTTTTAATAAGGAAAAATATATTTGGTCGTCTAAAGTTTTTCGTGTCTTGTCTTGGCTGGTTAAAAGATGCCTAAATGGTATTTTGAATCATATCAATATATAATCAAATATAATCAAAAATCAAAAGTTGTAGTCATTTCCGGTGAAACAGAAAATGACCAAAAACAATTGAATACGTCAATCAATCCTAATTTATGTCATATACTAACATACCAAATCTCGCTTTTTTATCCGAAAAATAAAAAAACTTGTGGGTGAGCCACTTTTGAGACGCACCAGGTATGCTAGTTCATATTGTTCATGTTAGGGAGTGCTTTTCGTAAAATGTTACATTGATTATCATTTAGGATACTTTGGATAGACCTGTAAATTTTTAGTTATTGTCTGAATTTTTCGTTAAAAATTATAATATCTTCATAAAATAGCAACATAGGTAGTAGATTAAATTTACAAGAGAGAAGAAAGACCCATAAAAGATTCAGTGGATCTTAAAATTTAAGCGAAAAGTCATTGTTTTTTTAAATTTTCAAAGTAAAATATTTCGGTTATTTTGGACTTATCTGAAAAAGGGCAAAGAGAAAATATGTTTCTTTTATCGAGATCTACCAGCCCTGAAAATATTTGCACTTATTTAAGACTCACCCTGTATGTACGATCGAAAAAAAAACGGCGTCAGAGATGGCTTGGAAATGATGATTGCGGTCATTTTATGTATTATGGGGTCATTTTATGATATATGGGCAATGTCATCGATCTTCTCTTGAGTCAACGCCGCTTTTTTCCATCATACAGTACTTTTTAACCTTAATTTTAAGGTGATACACGAGTGTCTCACCAGGACCAAATGATGTTTTTCGTTAATTTTTTATATATTATTATGTATTTAAAAATAGTACATTGTAGAAACTAATGAAAGTTGAGAGTTTTCTATATTGTAATGAATTATTTAAATTGTTTTAACAAGTTTTTTTTTAATTCAACTTAATCACGGTTTAAAATTTACGTGAGATTTATGTTTAGGTATGCGATGCAACGGTATAAAATTGCAAGGATTTTATTCAATTTTGATCTGTAAGGGATGTGAACATTAAAATTAAAAAAAGTCACAAAAGTAATGAATAAAATAACGATTAATATTTTTCCTTACTATAAGAAGTAAACTTTGAAAATGTAGATTAAGTCTTATAAATGATTAAACTAAATTTTCTGCAAGAAACGACATACTATTTTCTTTGTAGGTATTAGTTTTTTAGACAGTGCTTGTGTAAGCCATAATCGTTTTGAAACTAATTTATATTTTGTGTTTCCACTACATGCCGTTGTTTGATAACCTCCATTTTAAAGACTAATAAAATAAAGTTTTCAATTTTTTTATATGCAATGTGTATTTTAGTATTGAAGATGACTTCATTACGTGGAAAGACAAATTTTGGCCGGCTGTTTGTGAATACTTCGGAATCGAATCTACAGGCGAGGATATCAGTATCCGTCAATACAGACTTGAGGAATATGAGGACGCACCAGACAGAGTCTACACTGGTGAAATGGCTAGATTACATTCCTTGAAAAATCAGAGACCGTAAGCGAATCTCGTTAATTTGTATCATTTTTGTTATAAATTCTGTACTAATTTTCAGACCTTATGACGCCAAGAATCCCTATTTAGCAAAGATCACTGTCAACAGAGAACTATTTACGAGCGGAGATAGGCATTGTATGCATATCGAATTCGATATTGAAGACTCCAAAATGCGATATGACTCGGGAGATCATTTGGCTGTGTATCCAGTAAATAACTCAGAACTCGTTGAAAAAGTAATATTATAATTTACTTTAAAGAAACTGTTGTAAACATATCGTTTTTTTATAGATTGGAAAACTTTGCGAAAAGAATCTGGATACGATTTTCTCTCTTATTAACACGGATGAAGAATCAAGCAAAAAACACCCGTTCCCTTGTCCTTGCAGTTACCGAACTGCCTTAACCCATTATCTTGATATTACGCAGAATCCTAGGACACACGTTTTAAAGGAATTGGCCGAATATTGTTCAGATCCTGCCGAAAAAGAAAAATTGAAATTGATGGCCAGCACTAGTCCTGAAGGTGAGGAAATTTTTATTGTCATCCTCTGTATACATATGTAATACATACAGAGGATAAACAGCATTTAAAAGATCTTGAAAAAGTCTGGGTTTATAATCTCTAAAAAATAAAAAAAGTTTTTTTGTAAATATCACTTATAAGCTTAGCAAATTTTCCGAACCAACAAAAAAAACTTAAAAAATGCTTAAAAAGGTTTCAGGAGGTATATCTTAATTAGGATATTTTCTGTGTCGTAACCAATGCTCGTAATCGTCATCTTTTGTGAATCGGTTGTTGTCGTCACATGACTTTGACGCTTGCACAATTTTGATCTAATAGCCTTTTAAAACATGTATGCGACGTTAATTTTAATATTAGAACAAAATGAATTTTAATTTGAATATAATGCGTCGGAAAAAGCTGTTTATTTGAATATAATGGTTCTGAAAATTAACAAAACATTTAATTTCTTTATTGTTTAAATTTTCTAAATGCCTTATATACATGGTGTGCCAAAATGTTTGCAACAAATGGAAATTATTCTATTATTCAGTTATTCAAGGATTGATGTGGAATTACTTCAGAATACCCAATAGGAAAAAAACTTCACTGTCATGGCGGTAAATTACAAAACTCTATTTTAGATATGCAAAAAATAGAGTTAGGTGACAAAATATGTGAAAAAGCTGAAAGAAGTGAAAGAAAACTTTGACATTTCATTTTTCCATATTTTGTTACCCCACTTTTTGCATATTTGAATAGGATTTTTGTAATTTTCTGCCATGATATTTGTTGTGAATTTTAACACACCCTGTTCATAGTATTCATATCGATATAAATTTTATTAAAAAATAACATAAATATCTTTATCACTTTTTATTGACTAAAATTTTTGTTAGTATTTATATTTTAATGAAAAATATTTGTATTTTTAGGGAAGGCACTGTATCAGAAATGGATTATCGAAGACAATAGAAATATTGTTCATATTCTTGAGGATACGCCTTCTTGTAAACCTGCTCTTGATCATCTGTGTGAGTTATTACCACGTTTACAACCACGGTACTATTCTATATCATCCTCGCCACGTTTGCACCCATCTACCGTGCATGCCACAGCAGTCGTCGTAGAGTATAAAACTCCTACTGGGCGTATCAATAAAGGTAGGTAACTCCGATTATAAAATATAATACAGAACTTTCATCATTAAAATTGACCATTAAAACACTATAATAATATGATGGAGCGTTTCGTGCTTTTTATAAATATTAAAAGGTATATTAAAAGATATAAGTAAATTTTTGCAATAAGCCTGACATTAAAGGTTATTTTTAAATATATCGTTGCAATAATCACAACCCTATGTTATTTATCTGTACTAAATTTCTTAAATCAATATTAGGTGTTGCAACTACATGGCTCAGAGAAAAGATACCCAAAGAAGATCAAGCAGCGTTAACCGTGCCTATTTTCATTCGTAAATCTCAATTTCGTCTTCCAACTAAACCACAAACTCCTATTATTATGATTGGTCCTGGAACCGGAGTTGCGCCATTCAGAGGATTTATTCAGGAACGGTTTTCTTCTAAAGAGGACGGTAAACAAGTAATAAGTTAACACTTGTTTTTCTTTTTACTGTGATAATTAAAAAATTGTTTTTTTTAGGTTGGACAAACTGTTCTGTATTTCGGTTGTAGAAAGAAGACCGAAGATTACATTTATCAAGCGGAATTTGAAAAATACGAGAATAACGGTTTACTGACATTGAAATTGGCATTTTCGAGGGACCAACCACAAAAAGTATATGTGACGCATTTATTGGAAAAGGATGCCGATTTAATATGGAATATTTTTGAAAATAATGGCCATTTATATATATGCGGGTAAGGATTCTTCTAACGAATTAGGAAATGAATGACGGTATTCAGTTAATAACCTTCCCCGCTTTGAAAACATCAAAATAATAATATACAATGTTGATTGTCATTGTTTAAAACTAGTCGTTCTTCTGTACTTAATCTTAGTGACATAGACCTTAAGAAATATGTTCCTTTAGAGTGCCCACGTACGGGTCGTCTAGTTCTCGAAGCGGAAGCGTCTCGAATTCAGAGCGAATCTCTCTCCACAAGTGGCTACTTCCTACGTAAATAATAGTAGCAAATAGTAGGTCCACGAACGGCGGCGATCGATGCGGAGTCGAATTGATTGCGTTTCAAATTCGAATCGAACTTTGCGAGCTGCGAAGAATGCGAAAAGCGAGCGTGACGTCACCTGCCAATATCGCACGTTCCGTGCGATATTTTGCAATGAAAAGCCAAAAAATTGAATGAAAAAATTCTATGAATTTTAAAAGATAGGGTATTCAACAATTTTTGTATGACATTTATATGTATGATGGTTTTCACATTCTATGGAATGCTAAGGAAATTAATATCACTTTTGTAATTTTTTTAACCTAACTAAACAAACAATCGACCTTTGAATAAGAAGACTAAGGAAGGAGCATAATGCTATCCATGTATTCATGCATGGTGGGCGGAAAAGGCACCATAAAAGCTCTCTAGGGTGGGGATCCTTGACAGTTCTGTTTGACGATTCATTTGACACATTTGAATTTGATTTGAAATTTTGTGGATTTGTCAGTCTTTATGGAGCTTATTTTATGTTATTTCTTATTTATTCTACTACTGATAGTTGTATAAAGGTAGTAAATCTAGATGGAAATTGTGGCAGAACTTAAATTAACAGTGACACTATCGCGATTTATCGAAAAAGACTCTAAAATATTTGGTTGTGTAGCGTGCGGTAGATCTCGGCAAAATTGAGGTGAAATAATGGAACAATTTTTTCGCTAGTAAGTGACTATATAATATACATACGTGTAGTAAACCGATCATTTATGAAATTCACTTAAATTAACTAAATTATATATTTTTCTTGCATTTTAGCTTTTATTTATTACTTGTCAAAGATTAGATGTCAAAGAATTTAGATACGTTAATTTGACTTACCTGCTTCAGTAGCGTATCGGATGTTTGTGTTAATAAATACTAATAATATTATAACTTATCTATTTTTATTAGAATTATATATTTTTATAACAATTTTAATAACTACCAACATTTATTCACAACGTAAAATAAAACAACAAATTATTGAGTCTACCCCACGTCTACCCTACATCATAGTTTTACATTTTTTAAATAAAATTAGAACGACACTGATAAACCGGAATTTAAGTCGGCCATATTTGAGGCCCATCGCGGTGTACCTAAGATTTTTGATATGCTCCTTCCTTGGTCTTCTTATTCAAAGCAATCGACAATTAAAATTTCGTTCAATGTAGGGATGACCTATACTTTCTGTTTCTTTCTTGCAAATCGACGGTACCTTAAGGACGATACATATACCGGGTGGTGCATCGGCGTTGGAAACATGGGAAATCCCATTCAAATTTTGAACTGTCCAAATATTGGCTCTGTTGATTTTACAGCGAAGTCCTTAATAGGTTTTTTAAAGGTATGCACATGTTGAATATACATGCCAAATTTGAACAATTTTGGATAAGTTTTTAACTAATTTAAGAAAAACTGTATCTATTTTTAAATTAAAACTGACCAGGTAACAGTGCAAAAGCATACAAATGTCAACATACCTCAACCTATGATTTTGTCAATAATTTGTTGTGCTGTTTACGCTACTATGTTACAGTACATACGCGTTTTTGTAATTTAAAACATGTTAGAAACAGGCAAAGGCCTAACATTTAGGAATTACAATTTGACCTTTTTAAAATCATAGGTTGACAACTTAAGATATGTATGTTGGCATTTGACTGGTTTTGCTTTGTTACTTGTTCAGTTTAAATTTAAAAATAGATACAGTTATTCTTAAATGCTTAAAATCGGCATATCCAAAATTGTTGAAATTTGGATTGTGTATTCAGTATATACAGACTTTTAAAAATCATATTTACGACTTCCCTGTAAAATTACTAGGGGAGCCAATATCTGGACAGTTCAAAATTTGCATGGGATTTCCTGTTTCCAACGACGCGACGAAGCTACCACCCGGTATAAAGACTTCGTTATCTACATCACTTGAACTACCCATAGAAAAAATGACCAAAATAATACTTCGAGAGACAAGCGACAAAAATCCACCTGTAACGGTTATGGACGTTATGGGTCGATTTTTGTCGCTTGTTTCTCGAAGTATACATTCGATCGCATCGCATAGAACCTACATTCCCCTTCAAGAGCCAGACGACCCGTGTGCGGACGCTCTTTTGTTCAATATTTTATTAAATTTAATCAAAAACTTTTTCACGTATTTTTAGCGATGCCAAGTCTATGGCGGTTGACGTGCGCAACGTGATTTTAAGAATTATTCAAGAAAAAGGAAACATGACTGAAGAACAAGCACAAGCATATTACAAAAAAATGGAAACGCAAAAACGCATCTCTATGGATGTATGGAGTTAATACTGAAGAAACATAGGACAAATACTGGCATTTTCTCAGTGACCCAGTCAATTGATTTTGTTTGAATCAACTTTATAGTGAAAAAACTAAGTTGGCCTGTTATATTAATTTTATATTTTATAGTGATCCAAAATTGAAAATTCAGCCTTTGTAAAACTATTTATTTTTATAAGAAATAGTCCTTTTTGTATATATTTTTTCTCTATTATATAGACACACGGTGCCTAAAAGTTTAAGCTTAAAATTGATCCTAATGCTTTAGGAACGCATGGTGCAATTGATGTTTTGTATTCTCTTTTTATTGACCTGTAAGGTAACTCAATATATTTTATTAAATTATGTAACAAATATATCTTTACATATATAAAAATATTTAACCGTCTATCTCTTGTACCCAACATCAAAATTAGCGAAGTAAAATATGAACTGCTCATTGACAGTAAATATCGAAATGAAAGTGTAATGGTTTAATGTTATATCTATAGCAATGATTGCCAAGTTATCTGAAGAATGAAATATAAATTAAAACAAATAAGTTTAAAGTAAATTTTATTAATGTAAGAATAAAGACAGAAAAACCAATATAATGATATTATATTATAACTACTAATATTTACAAAAAATAACACAAATCATACTTAACAAAAAGGACCGGCAGAACAGTAAAACAAGTTATGTAAAAAATTATTAAAAATATGCAAAAATAACTATACTTTTAATTGGAATTTTACACAAAAACAATTCATTTTTAACTTTAAATCGTGTTTTACTGTCCCGCTGCATTACTGAGTTTCACAAGGTTAACCCCAAAATATACAGAAAATAAAAAGCTAATCGTCACTCTAATAGTTAAATAAAATAAAAACAAGCGGCCAATTAAAGCCAAATATTATGTACATAATAACTTATTCAGAACGTCTGAAATAAATAAAACCAATATAGTTTTAAGATAATATAGCTATGTGATTAAACAGAAAGGCAACAACTGTTTCGTTAAAACCAGTCGATAAGTTCTGAATACTAGAAATCAAAATAAGACAGTTGCATAATTTTTTTGTTATGATGTAAAAATTAAAATTTTTATATTAGTAACTTAAAAGATTTTTTAGATGCTCAAAATTCTAGATCCACTCCTGTCATACATCTTTTAGGTACATTATGCTTACACTATCCAAGAGAATATAGGACATCTACAGTTACTATGACTTATCTACAGTAGTATGAATCATGATTCATGATAATTCAAAAATTGATATTTTCTGTCACATTTTCTGACCATCTATCGAAATCGCCATTTCTTTCTTTGGATAGACCATTATAATTAAAGCTTCTTTATTAAAGAAACAAAAACCAAACAAGATGGAACGCTGATCACTCAGTAGCCAATATTTTTGTTTAGTTTTTTTGAAAGACTTTAGACATGTTGATCCAGCCGTAAATTGGGGAGCCTACAGACTATTGAAAATACGCAAATTTTCAGCTGGTAGAGAATAAAGCGGTCCATACATTATCAAACAAATTGCACAACAAAGCGATGCCCAACGTTGCGTTGCACAACTGCATCACCCATACATTTGGTAAAATTTTGATCAAACTTTTTATTAAAAGTTGTGCATTGTTCGAGAAATTAGCGACATCCCGCCAAAAAAACCGTCTGGCAATTAAAATATTGCAACGAACACATACACTACACAACGTGTTGCGCAAACAGTCCCGTTGCACAAAATAATTCAAACATTGAAACTTACCAAACAATTGCGTAACGCATCAAACAGAGCTATACAATGGCAACAGCCTGTGTTGCGCAATTTGTTTGATAATGTATGGGCCGCTTAAGCTATTTCAGTTTCAGCATCTTTTGTCTTTTTATGTTATGAAAGTAATTACCAAACACGCAGAACTGCGTTGTCACTTGACATGAGAATCTCATTAGGATACTAAGAAAGCAGAATTCCCTAAATGAAGAAATGGTTCAATAAATTAGTTTTAGTGGCTCATTTGTCGTAGCAAAAGTGGATTATCTCTAACAAGGTAAAAAAATTAAAACGAACAATGTCTAATTCAGTAAGACAGTTTTATGCAATTTTAAGCATACAACAATAAAAAAATAAAATAATCAAAAAGTCTATTAAGAAAATAAGTAATATAAATAAATTTTATTTACAATACTAAAAATGATTTAGTTTTAACTAAAAATATTGCGCTTTCACATTTATCACATGCCCCCGCCAGGAATACTTTCCGTACTAATAGCAATACTCATTGCGAGGTTTTTAATTTTTAATAGGACAAAAATAAAAATATCTATGTAGATATTTGATATACCATTTTCAGTATACTCTTTATACAACAAAAACAAAAAAAAAGCATGATACATTACAACCTTCGAACCCAAAAACAAAATTTAATGCGCATAAAAACAACAAAATCATTTAACATTCTATCTGCTCAATTATAAATTGAATTTATTTACTAATTAAAAACCATGCAATTTTTAAATCGTGCCCTAAGTAGTACAGTATCTATCAACTACAATCTCGACAATAATAAAAATTTATATATGTATATATAACGCATACTTATCAGTCGTTAACCTAAAAACTACAAAATATTAAAATACAAAAGAGCTAATAAGCTGACGTTGACATTTCCCTTTAATTTATAGAATATGCCATATATTATACTTGTTATACAGGGGTACTCAAAAAGGACTAGAATACCAGAGATACATTAACTGAACCAAACCATAAGAAGTTTTTTATTTACATCCCTGTATTATATGTCAACTAAAAAGGTCGAGTCATGCAAAACACATCAATTAACTAGCGCCGAAATTGATCACAAATTAAAATTCAAGTTACTCAACCCCAAGTTCGACTTTTTTGGTCATTTGTGAAGAATAAACGATTTTCAATTATTCTTAAGAACGGTAAAATTAACAATAATAGAGAATTATGCGACAATAGTATCGACTTCCGATTGTTGTGTTGTCGAAGGCGTCTCTTCAAAGTCGACCCACTCTGCATAGCCTTCATCTACAAGTCTTCTATTAAGGAATACCACATCCTAAAAAATAATTTTAATTCTGTATTATGTTTACTGGATGATAGAACAGCTGTATTAAATATAAATGGTTAGATATAGATAATAAAAGTTTAATATAAAATAATAAAATATAAATAAACAACGTATAGTTTGTACAATCACCGTTCAACCTTGGGTAATATATTGTCGTACTCTTTATTTCAAGTGACATGGTATGAAATAAAGAGTATGACAATATACGACCCAAGGAACGCACCTAAATTTTCTCAATAACGTGAAAAGATCTCAAACGCACACTAAAATGGATATTAGATTAATAATGATGGCGTACCGCTGAACGATCGACAGTACAGGCAATATCAGTCATAAAATCCCAATTAATATAAATACAAATTATTAATTTAATTAATAATCTAATTAATAATGATTTAATTAATTATCAGAACTGTTATGTAATTATAAGAGTGTGTGACTATTCAGAAAAAAATATACAAACTCCATAGATGACACTATACCGACCTGGTCATTTTAGAAGTGTGGTCTGGATTTTAACGTGTAAGACAGAATAATATAAATGACCGGTTGACAGACAGAGAGACAAAATCAAAAGCGGAATACAGTGTTGCCGGTATTTACGTTTGTAGGAAAATGTGTAGAAGAAAATAAATTATTTTAGAAACCTTCATGTATACTACTGAACTGAAGATAATATATCTACGCTAAATATATCCATTACGGCTGTAGTAAAATGAGTAACTAATTGTGAAAAATAACGTTCTAACCCTAGATGCTACATTTTTCGGAAACGCCTACTTGTGCGGTTTGAAATTTTGAAGCAAAATCTGGCAATAGAGCGTAGAAGAAATGTATCAACCCAATTTGTTTCTCAATTTAATACATTTGATTTGTCATTAAGCTGCCTACATCACTGTCTTACACGTTAAATTCGAGACCACGCTTCCAAAATGACCAGGTAGGTATATACAGAGTGTCCCAGAAATAAGTGCAAGTATTTTAAGGGGTGGTAGATCTCGATAAATGAAACATATTTTCTCTTTATCGTTTTTCAAATAAGTCCAAAATAACGGAGTTATTTTACTTTGAAAATTAAAAGAAAATAATTTTTTGCTAAAATTTTGATAACTACTGGATCTTTTTTGGATTTCCTTTCTTGTAAATTCAATCTACTACCTATGTTGCCATATTATCAAGAAATTATGATTTTTGACTAAAAACTAAAAAAAATTCCAAAAATTTTTTCAAACAATTCCGAATTTTCAAATTTTTTTTTCGCGAAAAAAACCTCATAGCCGTGTTTCTTGGGTTGAACTATACTACCAGTTAAAATACTTGCACTTATTTTTGAGACACCCTGTTATAAAATAATGCCTTCTAAACTTACTTGAGGTCCAGTAACAACAAAACATAAAACTAGAGGAACTCCTTCTGGACTATAGTCCGCTACTTGAGTGTAAATTATTGAACCTTTGGTAACTTCAGCTACTATATTATAAGCTTCTTCTGGCCATGATCCGTCACCTAGACAAACGAATATGGTTTAAAAACAATAATTTAAGTTTTACTATAAATTGTAGCATTGAATAATAAAGCTAAAGGAGCATATCAACAAAATCACGCGACAGCGAAGGAACTTCAATTTGACTGATTTAAATTCCAGTTTATTAGTGTTTTATGTTAATGGTAACAAAATCTATTAAAATAAATAAGTCAATATAATTTATAACACAAATTCAGATAATTTCTAATATATTTTTTTAAATATTCACAATAATTCACTGTAATTCAAGTCCGGCAATAAGACGTTTCCAAATTTATACGCTTTGCATAAAATCAATTATAGAATAAATAATAAATATAAAAAAATAAATCGAGAAAAGCCTAAGAAAGTCGAAAAATTCAAATCAAATTCAAATGTATTAAATAAAATGTCAAACCCGTCTCTAATGCATGAATATAAAAATAGTATTAGCAAGGTTTACATAATTCTGTAAACTTTAATATTAGACTTTTTCCTTAACTTTTTTATTCACTGACAGACAAAAAATAAAAGAAATATGCTTACTTGTTAAAGGTTTAACGTTACTTAAAAAACATTCAGATGCCTGGAAGGGCAAGAGAATAAAATCTTGTCTGATCTGCCTCAATTTGTCATTTTCTACATAAGCATAACCTCCATAATCTAGGAATTTTATATATGACGTGTCCGTTTCGTCATCTGAAGAAAGGACTATTGCTCTGTACCACGAGTCTATCGAATAAGCAGCACAAACTGTATTTTCTGAAAAACAATTCAATATGTAAAGTAGGTAATTCCAAAGTCATTGGGACTGGTTTGAATTGGTTTGAAGTTGTAATGTATAGGTATTACCAAGATATAAATCATGAACATACCTGGAATAGGTGATGGCAACAATGGAGAATCTGTAGAGTTGTAACATGAATTCATACAATTCGTTAGCAAATTAAGGCTTGGAAAAGAAGGGTGTGTTGGTTGTTGCATAAAAAGATGATTTGGGGCCACCATACAACTCAATATTGTATCATTGTTAATGCCTTCTATTAGCTTCAACTAAAATGAAAAAAACTTATTAAAATGATATACAATTTTCTTAAAATATATATTTATATGCGAAGTCGTTTTGATCATTTTTATTATTTGAAGAATCATGCTTACATAAAGATAGTCTGGAACTAGAGAAACTGTCGGTACCAATGGTGTTAACTGAACCTGTTCCAGCGTAACTTCTGCATATTTTTTAAGAGGAAATTTATCACGAATCATTTTCAAAGCCTTGTCAATCTCCTTTTGTGTTCCTTCAACACTGCATAGCTGAAAAAAATAAATAAATTGATTAATTCTCGAACTCGTTATACAATCTTACAACTCAAATAAACGATCATTAAATATAACAATTTTCATGATTTATTGCTAAAATTGTTCGCTGCGTTTCCAAACCAGAAAATTTAAGAAGCGCAATTTACTGGAGGATATACAGAACTTTTATATATCAGCATTGTTGCGCGGGACATTGATAGAATCAATTGTTCTGCATGGGATAATGCTGAATATCAAAATATTAAATTCCATAGACTTAAAACTTCTTACTAACAGCTAATAAACTGAAGGATTTGAAGGACATGTTTGAAAAAGTGTAGTTTGAAATGTGGAAATAAATGATGATTTCGTCCATTTCGAGGCATTCGAAATTCGAAATGTCCAGGGCGTCAACCTGTAGCCCGTTTCCAATTATGCCGAAATCGATCCACATTTTCCTTCAATATCAAATCCTTAGTCCCACCCTGATGAAGATTCAAACGAAACGTCGTATCCAACTTTATAGGGTGGGACAAATATAAGCGACGGTGCACACTCCGTCGCTTATATTCGCTACACAACAAATTTAGTCGCGATCGGACATCAACTTTTGACGTTTCTTATGTCAAAACTAACTGTCACAGTGACACGGTCGTACATGGTCAAGTTGGCCTTGGTCCAATCTATCGACATACCAAATTTCATTTAAATCGGACGATTTCTTCGACATGATGATGTTGTTTCATAGTGCACGAAACGTCAAAATATCATAAATCATGAAAAGACGGGTCCCATCTACATTCCGATTTTCAGTTCCCTAACTCACACAGGGCCTGAGTTACGACGCTCCACAGACCCATCTCAACTTGCTCATTGTCTTACCAATTTTTCGATCATTAACACTTTTCATGTCGCATATCATAGCTCATGTGTCACAGCCTTGAATTTTTACTCCAGCGCGCGTAAAAAGTTTCACTTCAAAAGAAAAATATCGTTTTGTATTTTAAAATTATAAAGTAATACCAGTGGCGGCGATATGCACGAGTATCCAAATTTTTCAAGAAAATGTGAATATTTTGAATGTCTCTTCATTTATAAAACTCTCCTAAATAATGATGCTACTAGTTAGACATACCTTCAATCTGTTGTTAGTGGGATGACTTCTAACATACACATGTGCATTGCATTTATCTTTGATATTCTGAACAAAGCACCCTTGACGGCCGATCAGTTTACCAACCAAATTTTGATGGATGGCGAAATCGTAACTCACTGGCACACTCGGGTCCATGCCTATTTGTGGGGTACGGGAGGCAGGGGGCGTTGCGACGTCACTGCTTCCTTTTCCACTGTCACTTGAACCCTACAATAAAATATTTTTATTGGTTACAATAAAATTTCACTGTTGAAAACACCTGCAAGATTAATAATTAATAATTTTCTATAAAATACAACTCTCGGAGGCAAAATAATAAATTTTTATTACTTTTAGAAGTAATTGGAGGATTGCAATTAAAAATTTATCATTATCTAAGAAACAATAAACCAAACTCTATCATGTAATATAAAGTATAATACATTAAAAAAATCTCGCTAGTTTATTCGACGCCAAGATGAATCAAAATAAAAGAGGCGTAATCTTTACATATTAGAACAGTAGCATAATACAGGGTGAGTCTTAAATAAGTGCTTTTTCAGGGCTGGTATATCTCGATAAAAGAAACATATTTTCTCTTTACCGATTTTCAAATAAATCTAAAATAACGGAGATATTTCACTTAAAAAATTTCCAACAAAAAATATTTTTTGCCAAAATTTTTAGAACCACTGGATCTTTTCTGGATTTTCTTTCTTGTAAATTTAATCTACTACCTATGTTGCCATATTATCAACAAATTATATTTTTTAACTAAAAACTAAAAAAAATTCCAAATGTTTTTCAAAAAATTCGAAGTTCCAATTTTTTTTCGCGAAAAGAACCTCATAATTGTGTTTCTGGGGTCGAAATATACTACCCCTAAAAATATCTGCATTTATTTAAGACTCACCCTGTATATTACTGTAGTATTTACTATTCACCGCACATGGCCTAATGTATTGGTTTGCATTTGGTGCATCTTGGCGGCGAATAAACTGTGGAATTGAATCGATAACTGAAAAAATTGCTAAATGGTGGTGGTAAATTCATTTGGTTCTTAAAAATTAACTAAGGCATGTGCTGACATGAGCCAAAAAACAAAAATGCTCACGAAATTACTGCATAGGGTGTTTTAAACTAAGGCTAAAAACAACCCTTCGATTAACCCTGTATAATAAGCAAAATTGTAAAGTTTATAAAAAACTGACTTTAACATTTTATATATAGTTATTTTTTGTTAGTTAGTGCTAAAAAAATTATGAAATTAGGGCTAAATCACCTTAAATTTGATGAAAAAATTTCCCGATGTGTTTTTTTGCATCTGAGTGTATATTTTATATTAATTATAGTATCATCAAATTTTTATGATGTCAGAATAAGATTTACAGAGAATTTAGTAAAAAATAAGACTCTCGTAGATAAATAAACAATGATTTGCAATAAAAATAGTACAAAATGTCTTCTGCGTTTCCAAACCAGTAAATTAATAATAAAATTTATTGGAGGATATACAGAATGTTACTGTTATCAGCGTTTTTGCACAGAATATTTAAACATCATTTACTCTGCATGGGAAACGCTGACAATTTCATATAACTCCAATGAAGAAATAATAAACCATTATTTTATTAAGTAGTCAAAGTGATAGAATGTTATGATATAACATTCTATCACTTTGACTACTTAATAAATGTATATAGACATGTATAAAAGATAGACTAACCATATTATTGTTAGTCATCTTTTATATATGTTTTTTATGTCTATAAAAAACAATGAAAAAAGACGTTGTTTTAACAACATTTTTTTAGGTAAATAATAAAGGTAATTACTGATCACTTACTTCACTATGATTGTCAGACATGCAACTTAAACTAGGACTGGCCATCATAACATCTGACGGACTATGATTGGCCGAATCTCTTCCTGAACTTTTTCTACACACTTCCGGATGATCATGTAAGTCTTCACCGCTTGTTTGATTCGTGTTTTGCAGTCCGCATTCTTCTTCTTTTGGTTCAGGAGAAGAAATCTACAATATTAAGCACAATGATTAAATAACATAAATTATTTTTTTTATAACAGAAATTATTTTTTTTAAAATACCTTTAAAACGCTCATTTTCTTTTCTGGTGTTTTATTTTTTTGTGGGCTCTTTACAGGTTTTTCCTGTTTCTTCTCTGTCTTATTAGATTTGATTTTCTTGGGTGTATTAGGTTTGGTCACTACCGGCGTAATATCTTTTTGGGCCATTTTTATACTAGTATTGCTGTCACTGCTGCTGTTCAAAACGTTGTGCTCAAAGCTTTCTTTAATAACTGAACAATTCTTATTATCTGAATCTTCCTGTTTAACTTCTGGACTGGATTTGAAGTCTGCAATCGACTTCTCCACCTTAGGAGATGGAGTTTTGGACAGGTGTGAAGATATGGTACTGGGTGAAGTGTACTGGTTCCTCATCGATTTTATCTAAAGCAAAAATAAATATATTTTATCTAAAACGATATATAAATTAAAAACGATATATTAAGATCCAACAGTAAAAGATTATCAAACCAAAACATCTGTTCAGTACCTAATCAATTGCTAGATCGAAAATTCCTCCTAGGTCAAAATAATTAGCGCAGATAAAAAATACGCCTACCAGTTTCATTAATGTTTTAAACAAATCAAATTCTAAATGCCTATGATTAAACTATTAATATTGAAATTATTTAGTTACCTTTTCAATTTCTATATCCAAATCTTCGTCTGGAATAACTACTGGAGTAGACTTTGTTGACCTCAACTCTGGAGGATAAACTATATCAATAGGGGCTGTCTCTACGCCGCTCAACGATCTGTTGAATGATTTCGGTGGGGATGATACTGGCGTACTCTGCGACCTTTTCACCTGAATACAAATTAACTAATTTAAATATTATACTTAAAAAGTAATAAAATAGTACAATAACAGTACGTGCAATAAAAACGCGGAGAATATGTAAAAAATAATATTAAATAGTATATTACATATTTTTTTTACATTTTCAAATTTAGATGCTGTCAGAATGACAATCTTTTCAGAATTATCAAGATAAAAAAGAATAATGACTTGTACATAAATATACAATATTATACAATATAATTAATGTTTTCTGCGTTTCCAAACCAATAAATTAAAAATAAAATATACTGGAGGATATACAGAACGTTACTGTTATCAGCGTTTTTGCACAGGATATTTAAATTGTCATTTACCCTGCATGGGAAACACTGAAACTCTAGTCAACTCCATAAAGAACAATAATGAATAATTATTTTTTAAGCAGACAGTAGATAGAATATAGCAAAATAAAACACTAATAATAATATTTTACTTTTAATACTAATTAATTAAGTTAAACAAACACATCTCAAATTACAGGCAAATTAAGATCCTCGAGGATTCAAGTAAGAAATTTCCTAGAATTACTTGGTTTCATTTGACCTGTATGTGTGCTGAAAGGTTGCCAGATTAGTCTCAAAGTCCAAGTTAAATAAACAAAACCAGCACAATTTACAGCGAAATCTATGAAAATTTTATTTCCCACATGAAATTATAACGAAAATATTAAAAATTATTAAAAAAGTGGTTGAAATAATTATTTATATTTATTAAAATATTATTCAAGTCATTCAAGTACATGGAAACAGTGTGTTAAAAACAGCAAACAAAATCACTCACACCCAGCGGTGAGTATTATTCAGGTGTCGATCGAGATATTATACAGAGAAAATGTTATGACCGAGGATTCCTCGGATGATCATCCGATTATTGGAATCCTCGAGAATCAATACTCAAGGATTGAAATCATCCGATTTTTCCCAACACTATTAAAAATAATAAAATAGTCTAGTGTCAATAATAATTAACGGTTTGGTTGTATCTAATTTGTCAATATTGTCATATACCGGGTGCGCCTTAAAAGTGGTTCACCCCTATAACTTTTTTATTTGTTTAGATAAACAAACGAGATTTGGTATGTTAGTATATGACATAAGTTATGGTTGATTGACGTATTTAATTGTTTTTGTTCACTTCCTGTTTCACCGTAAGTGACTACAACTGTTGATTTTTAAATGACACTCTCGGTATTTTTTTATTATATTTGACAGAAAATGACATTCTGCATAGAATGACATATTATATATCAACTTTTGACATTTTCGCATATGGTTTATTTTAAATCGTAACATGCGGTTCATAACGACAATATGACTCAAAATACCAAGTGCGGGGTACCAAATTATTCGTAAAATAATGCTTTTTCTAAATATGCTAATGAACCACCCTTGTTCTATTTGAAAAAATTGAGCTATGATGGAAAATAATATTTGGGCATCTTTTAACCGGCCAGGACAAGACCCGAAAAAAATAGACGACGATTAAAAATTAATTTTAAACACAGCCATGGCACTCAGATTGAAATTTAAAATACGATTTTTTTCAAGCGAAAATATCAAAAGTAGACATATGTCACTCTATTCAGAGTGTCATTTTCTATCGAATAAAATAAAAATATGCCGAGGGTGCCATTTAAAAATTAAAAGTTGTAGTTATTTGCCGTGAAACAGGAAACCAAATCTCGTTTTTTATTTAAAAAAAATAAAAACGCACCCGATATATGAAAGCGATGAGGGCCCATTCACAACCATGTATACTAAAAAATTATAAATATGAATTAGAACAGTAAATATGTTGATAAACAAAAAATTTACCTTCTCTGGAAATGCCGCGATTGATAAATCTGGATCTTCAAACGTTTCCGATTCCTCAGTGCTCTCCGTGGAGTCTCTAAAACTTTCCTCGATCGGTTTGGAGCCACCTGTGTCACTTCGAACTCCAATTTTCTTCCTTCTGTACAAGAAATAGCTGAGAAGAATGATTACAGTCGGGACGCTGTACTTTACAACCGGACCAGGTAAGAACGGGGCCATAATTTGATTGATCCACGTTTGCTGTGTCTAGGGAATACGCAATGATCCTGAAACCAATAAGAGGTAATTAGTATAATCACAGTAGAACAACACCAAATCCAGTAACTAGAGGGTAATGCATATATATGATAAAAATTACTAACTTAAAAAAATATAAGGTTGTGTATGGTAACACTATTACTACAGTTGAGGGTTGGAACCTTTTACACAGCAAAATAAAACACTAAATCACCACAATACACCAAAACACTTTTACCTTTACACTGGACGCGCGTTTTGCTAACCATGTTAGCATCATCAGCAGAGGATTATAAACTGAAATATAGCCATAGAATAGTTTATAATCATTTGCTGATGATGCTAACATGGTTAGCGAAACGCGCGTCCAGTGTAAAAGTAAATGTGTTTTGGTGTGATTTAGTGTTTTATTTTGCTATGGTAACACTTTAAACGTGATTTTTTGTTCACTGTTAAAATAACTCGTGATTGTGAATTATTGTATCATTTATGATAATCTTTAGGAAGTAGTCCTTAACCGTGAATTAGGAGTATTCCATTTGGACAAACTCATTCTGTACAGGGTGGGTCAAATTGGACGCTTTTAAACGGAAATACCCTTTTCTATAGGAGATAGACAAAAACTAATATCGGTGTCTGGAGCTCAATTTTTGTCAAAAACATGATGGTGAAAACCGCATATCGATATCTGTTACCGTTTCGGAGTTACGGGGTGTTTTTCAAAAATATGCATTTTTAACAAATCGATGTAACTTTTTTGCTATGGAAAATTTTGTATTTTTATGAAAACATTTCCAAAGCACTTTTTACGTAGAATTTAATGGTTTAAGTATAATTTTTTTAAAAGTAATAATTTAAGAATTATCAACAGAAAATTTAATTTTTTATATGAGACACCCTGTATATCTATAATTTATTAAAAAGAATTTAAAACTATCTTTCCAAAAATATAACACACTTGATATTTTGCTCGATTCCTCTTCGAGAGATAGAGTATACAAAAATTCACCCGCTTTAAATAAGTAGGCCTTGAATGGCACCGGCTGTAATGCAAAAAAATTCTAGCTGTAAGCATCAATTAAAACGAAAATAATATTTGCTATAAGAGATGCAGAATTTTATAACAATTTAAATTATATTTAACCAACATCAACACATTTAAACTATATCTGATAACAATAAAAATAAATAGCAAACCAAGACATGAGATTTTGCTGCAGGTGTTCGACCGTCTTCTGTTATGGACAGACGGGGCCGTTTCTGAACATTTCTCGCGGAATTCATTAACTCAGTGGGGGTGAAAGATACCCTCTTATAACTGCTAAGTATTTCTAATTCTTGTCTAGATTATACAGAAGAATAAGGAACCTTTATTCTTCCGCAAATATGTCCATAGGATTAGATCCATGGGCACTAAGTCAGGTGGCCTCGACGGCCAACGGCTGGGATCTTGGTAAGCTATTCAATTATTCTTGAAATTGGCTGCAAAAATTTGCTGATAACTTCAGCGTTCTGAGGCGGTGCCTCTTCTTGCTGGAAAAATATGTTTTCGAGTACCATTAAGGGCATATCATCAATAAGGGGTCCAAAGCCTACCAGTTAAAAGTGGCGAACTTTTAAAAATTCTGTATTTCGAAGGGGAATATAACAAAATATCAAGTGTGCTATATTTTTGGAAAGGTAATTTTAAATTCTTTTCGGTTAATTAAAAATATAAAGTGTGTCCCAAATAAAAAATCGATTTTTCTGTTGATAACTCTTAAATTATTAATTTTAAAAAAATTATACTTAGACCATTAAATTCAACGTAAAAAGGTGCTTTGAAAATGTTTTCACAGAAATACAAAATTTTCCATAGCAAAAAAGTTTACAGCGATTTGTTAAAAATGCAAATTTTTGAAAAACGCCCTGTAACTCCTAAACGGTAACAGATATTGATCTGCGGTTTTCACCATCATATTTTTGATGAAAATTGAGCTCCAGACACCGATATTAGTTTTCGTCTATCTGCTATAGAAAAGGGTGTTTCCATTTAAAAGCGTCGAATTTGACCCACCCTGTACATACTGCGTGCAATCCCATATTACCGACGTTAACCTTATGGTGTTATGCTATTTTCGACTTAAAGCGTTAAGAAGTGCTGTTAAGGTTAGTTTTGCTGATGTAAATATTAATAGTTTATATATTTATAATTAATTTATTTCTGTTTCCTAAAATATTTTTATTAAAAGAAGATATGTACAAGTGTGCAACGCTGTGGCGTCAAGCTTAATCACGTGACTAAGTTTATTTGGTATGAACTGTATGTAAGTGCATAATATATCAATTTTAATAATATCTAAATCAGAAAAATATGTAATTAGGATTAAATAAAACGAATCTAGAAAACTGAATTGTATAATATTGTTTAAAGCAATTATCTTCATGATGCTTTGGTTTTTCGAGGAACTCTCGGATATACACGATTTTAAATAATAAATGATCACTTAAAAGAAAATAATACGTCAAGCTAAACAAATCAATAATAAAACTCTGCGAATTTAGTTTCCATGCAAAGTCTATTGTTCTAAAGTAGATTTGAAGTGGGTTTTACTGTTTTTTTTCCAATTTATGCAAAACCGATAAAAATTCGAACAGTACTTTATAAAGTGGCGAAATTCGTGTTTTATTATTTTTTTCTTATCAATATGGGATAATTTTGTTAAAATACCATTTTTGTGCGTAGTTTTGTTAAAAATTTTCCTATTCACCTGAAAAGCTATGGACGTCCGCACAGAAATTTACATCACGTTTTACTTATTTAACACGAGAATAATAATTCTTTTTATTAAGAATATACCGGGTATTTCTCACCCAGGGGTTACACAAAGTGGCTCACTCCTATAACTTTTTTATTTTTTTATACAAAAAACGCGATTTGGTATGTTAGTATATGAAATAAATTAGGATTGAATGACGCATTCAATTGTTTTCGGTCACTTCCTGTTTCACCGGAAATGACTACAACTTTTGATTTTTAAATGGCATTCTCGGCATTTTTTTGCTTTAAGGCTTTATTAGATAGAAAATGACACTCTGAATAGAATGACATATCCTGATTTATGTCATATACTAACGTACCAAATCTCGTTTTTTATCTGAAAAAATATATAAAAAAGTTATAGGAGTGAGCCACTTTTGAGAAACACCCGGTATACATCATACTTTTAAGAATTTATTGATTCTATTAGACAGTAATAGGTCATATACAATAAAGTTCACAATCAGTTTACATCTAAAATATTCTACCATTTTCCTTTAAGTTTGATTGTATTTAGACAGAGGTCAACAATTATGTTATTGTCAAGTTAATTTTTGTGAATTTGAATAAAACTATTTATGGTGTATATTCATTTATAATATTAGTACATTGGAAAATAAACACTAAATCACCACAATGCACCAAAACACCTTTACTTTTACACTGGACGCGCGTTTCGTTAACCATGTTAGCATCTCATCAGCAGATGATTAAAACTGTAAAAGTAATAGTGTTTTGGTGTATTGTGGTGATTTAGTGTTTTATTTGCTGTTGTAACACCAAAGGTTCCATACCCATGAGGTATGAGAAACAGTGTATTGTAATGTAGTTACTATAATCATACAAGAAACAAAAAAAAAAAACGAAAAAAAAACAAAAATATAAAAAAAGTATTTTTTTATGAAAAACAAATTAGGGCGAGTATTTTTACATTCCGGGCTTTTTTATTATCTAATCAAAAGAGTATTTTTAACTATCCATATTTATAAGGATTACAGTAATTATAATACATATACTAATATGGCTACTACAGAAATACCAGAGAGTAAAGTAAACATATTTAGAAAGTATATATTTATTTTTTTTGGTTGGAACTTTTATTGTGGGTATCGTCAAAAGTTAGTAATGATCAACACTGTTTTGCTTTTTCATTATGAGGATCTGTCAACCCTGCTTCTATGTTGCTAGAATTTTATTGTGTATGTCCAAACTTCTTTTTAAAATTTGGATCGTTCTTTTCAAAAAATGACGTAACTCGAAACAGTGAGACGTAAGTTTGAGGAATAGTGACAAAAATTTGTTCGACGTAACTCGAAACGACGTAACACGAAACGACGTAAATCGAGGACTGCCTGTATATCCATCAGAATTTTTTACTGTTGTTAAACTATCGCATTTCCCGATAACTATTATTACAGTAACATTGAATTAAATAAATTTTGTGCTTCTTTAATATTTTCAAACAGCAAAAAAATATGACGTTAATTAAAGTTCTAATAATAACAATCTATCAAAGAATGAAATCAGAATGATATTACCATATAAAAGCACTTTTTGATTTTTAGGACTTGCACTAAAATTGAAATATACTATATTTTCATGTTTTCTTTTTAAATTTTCTCTAAAACTGTATGGAAATTTGAAAGATTATAAACAAGATTAAACATTTTACAACAAGCAAAATTTGTTTATTAAGAATGCATTTTTCTGAAAATGTCAATAAAAAAGGTTTTCCTCTTGTAAAGACAATCCGGGGACATACTGTATAACAGATAAAAAAAATAATTTCAATAAAAAAACTTTAAAATTAATAATTAAAATAAAAATTAATTATAAAAACCGTAAGGTGTAAAATTTAATGCACTAAACGTAACCTCTTCGATATTACAATTTTTGTACTGTTTTTGACGTAGGTAGATAATGTCAACGACCTTCAACAGGTTGTAGTGTAGTAAAGAATTAGATGATCCTGCGAAGACAAATTAAGATAATATTATTTTTTTAAATGACACTGCATTAGCATCCAAACGGGAATCTACTCGCCAGTGTCTTTACTCTTCAAGCTGGACTTCATTTGGATCTAATTAAGCGACATTTAACAAAAAAAAAAATTGTTTATTTCTATTTTTAAAGAAATTAACCCGCCAGAAATGTATAGATATCATTTACAACATTATAGTGTTTATTTATTTATAAAATTTTAGGTTAAGTCTAGGCGTTATGACCGAC